GGGACAGACTTTTGCAAAATTATTTAGCCATAATCAACATGGTTATTCAGACTCTTCACTGGAAACAGAAATCACAATGATCATAACATACCCCAGCTGGTAAGGTTGATTTTTCACATTCAACGGGTTGTTAGCATTAGAGAAACACAGTTTCACTCTAATCAGAGAAAGCATAAAATATAAAAGGTGTCATTACTGACCTACCATTAGTAACACATGCAGAATCTGAGATCAAGAAGGTGTTACTTCCCCCAGAGCCAAGGCTGATGTTTCCAGTTGGATGGTACCTTTGATGATGAAGCCGTCAGCCCATGGATCAGTGTACAACCATTTACTTAAGGGATTGAACTAGACTGGTTGAAAAATTAGATAATAAAGGGCAGATAAATAAGACCATGAGAAGTGTGGAGGAGCAAGCCCCACGGCTCGGTTCTCTTTTCCCACTGAAGATCTGTGAGTATTTGATGAATAAGGACCTAGAGCACATCACCTGCTCATCTTTGCTAGGTGCTCTTCTAAAGCAGCAGGAGTCTGATGTGACAGCCAGCAGAGAAATTGCTGCCCCAGGAAATGCTTCGCCTTTGACTGATTGCTGAATGGCTGGCAAATTAATTTTGGCACCTTTACCTAAGTCATTTTGCTCCCATTCCTCCATTTCTCTGCTGGAAAGTATGTATTCACATTACAGTTAAAAATATGTCGACAACACAAATGTGGAGAACAGCATGTACTGTTTCAGGAAAGAAGTTGTAGGCTAGGATGGTTCCATTCTATAGAATACAAATGATGTCATCGTGCTCTGAGAGAAGGCCTGAACTCTCCTTTCAGCTCAACTTAAAATCAATATTACTTCTCACTGACTTCTTACAAAATCAGGGGCTCCAGGGTTTAAGATATTGAGTGCTTGAGGAGCTTCTGTTCTGGTATTTTCCTCTTAGGTAATGTTTAGCAAACCTTTTATATTTAGCAAACCCTCCAAGTCCACCAAAATCCTAGTACCATTGCTTCCTTATACATTTATCTCTTCAGCCTCTAGCAAGAGATAATTTGGGGGGTGGCTAATAGCATGAGCTCTGAATCCTGTCTATACCACTCATTGGCTTTGTGACCTTTAGTGGGTTTACTTAACTTCTCTGTGCCTCTGTTTTATCATCTGTTAAAGGGACTCATAATGACAGTAACTCCCTGTACTCTCTCTAGATCTCTTTGTTCACTGCCATTGAACAGTGCCAAGTTTTAAACTCAATGTACTTCACACTAATTTTTCCTTTTCTAATAATGTATCTTATTACTGCTGAGAAAAGTAAAAGGAATGTGCACTTTTGCTTTGGCTCTTTTCAAAATAAGTGAAAGGTGCCATGCTTGAGACTTATAAAAGTAAACTTTGATGAGACGGGGTAGTTGAAGCCCTTGCCTCGGGATGAAGATTGATGTTCTGTTGTCTCAGCTGGTGACACGTTACAGTGTCATAAGGCTGGCTGCTGGCTCCCTGACTCTCCTGATGTGATTGGCCTGTTCCTGTCATTGATCTGTCGCAACTTGTCATTCTTGTCCTTAAGAATTAAAAGGTGTTAAGTGTTTATTATAATTACTGATTCTTCTTATGTTATAGTATCATCTTATAAATTAATTGTGGTAAAATACATATAGCATAAAATTTACCATTTTACCATTTAAGTCGTTTTCAGTGGGGTTTTCTTTTTTGTGGGAACATTTATTAGAACCTGAAAAACTTGTCATCAATAAGGAGACTGTGTTAAAGATACAGAAATCTGAAAGGGTTATCACAATGACTTGAAACTCCTCAGCTTTTAGACTGGCCATTCAAGGCTGCTCCACCTTACGCTATAGATGCCATCTGAGAATCTGCATATGTCTGTAAGTTCAGTCAGTTCAGTCGTGTGACCCCATGGGCCGCAGCACACCAGGCTTCCCTGTCCATCACCAACTCCAAGAGCTTACTCAAACTCGTCCATAGAGTCGGTGATGTCATCCAACCATCTCATCCTCTGTCACCCCTTCTGGAGTGGGTTGCCATGCCCTCCTCCAGGGAATCTTCCTGACCCAGGGATTGAACACAAGTCTCCTGCATTTCCTGCACTGCAGGCGGCTTCTAGGTACATGTTGTGCTTTTTCTGGCAAATAAAAAAGTATGCCAGTTTAAATAAAATTCAATCAGTAACTGGAACGACTCTTAAGACACAGAATATGCTCAATAAATATTTGCTGAAAGGATGAATCAATGAAAAAATGTATGCTAATTTCAAAAAACAGTAATACTCTACAAAGAATTTGTAGAAATTTAAGAAGTTTAATGATGAACCTACAATAAAATTTGGTCTCAAGGGTAGTTCCATTAGGCCATAGAAGCATGAAAATAGTGATTATAACCAAATGAGCCAAATTAAAACTGTATTAATTTAGGAATAGTGTCAACAATTAATAATAATTAAGATAAAGTTTCATATTTTCATCCTTTTTAAAAATCAAGTAGAATATTTAAATTAGCAACATAAGCAATATATTATAAAAGGAATGTCCCTGCTAAAAGAATAAGCTGAATTGTACTTCAAGAAAACTATTTGCCCATGAAACTCAACTATAAGGATTTATAACTGGCAATCCATCCGATAGTATCCTATTTACCAATAAAAATTATGATAATATAGTGTCCCAAATATTATATATTTCAAACTATTTACTAATGCAGACTAAACTTTCTTCAGATTCATTAGCATTGATGACCTTTGCTTATGAAGTCAAGAATATGTTTTTAGAAAAATAAATTGAAGTCTTGTAGATGGGAGAGATTAAAAAGTTTGTGCTTAGCTAAACACATAGCAGTTAATTTTAAGTAAATCATAAAATTTAGCAATAGAAGTGGTTGAGTCCTTTCTTTGTTTTCTTTTTTTAAAAGACCCCACTTTGGGGAAGACTAATGTGTAGATGAATAACCATACTCAGCAATACTGCATAGTACATGTCTAATGTATGGGAGTAGGTTAGAAGCAGCTCAAACTAATGGGGTTAACCCCCATGATTTAATCACCCAGCCCTAGCACAAAGCAGACAAATAGCAGAGAAGCAGGGAGCAGTCAATTTATTTCTAAATTATTCCTAGCTTTTGTATTTCAGAGTGTCACCAAGTAGATACTAGGTGTGGATTTCCTACTGTTTCCAAGTCTCTTCTATCTCCCCCAGTTAACTGATTATTGAGCCATAAGCAAGATACATTTCATTCATTACCAGCACAGGACATTATTAAGAGTCATTTTACTGATTGGCTGGGAAGCTCTTTCTTCCTCCCCCTAATCTAACCTCCAGTAGAAGTGAATTTAGGAGGTGGCAGCTTACAGATACCCAAGAATCACACAGACTGCTTGTTTTCCTGGTTTGGAATTCCAAGACATCCCCAAGCTCCCAAAGGGGCTCAGTGTTCTTGTTGCTGTTCACTTTATATAGTTTTAAATGGTTGACTCCATGGTAAATCCTTTCCAGAAATGCTGAGCATGAAGAGGGCTGTTGGGAGAACCAGTTGAACTTGATTAATTGTGGAAAAAAGACATGCAAGTGAAGTTGGGATTGAGACCTTTCTGAAACTACGTTTAACTTTTAGTGATATTCAAGTTAGGGTTGGAGAAATTTACTTTTTCCCCAAAGTAAAAATAGATACATTGTTTTGTGTTATACATAATGCTTATTGCAAAAGCCTTCAGACTATACAGAAATCTACAGACTTCTATATTTCATAGTCATTCTATGTCTCAAAGATAACAACTGTTACTGTTTTGGTATGAAGCTTTCTGTATTTTTCTATGGCTTTACAAACTTTTAGTTAATTATAGGATATTTAAAAAATAGAATCAGACTATATATGTTATTTAGTAATGTGTCTTTTAATGTAATTTTCTCTATGAAGTAATTTTCATCATAATTGCTTTCCTGTATCCCATGGTATAAACCTACCATTTTGGGTTTCTAATTTTTCACAAATAGAAGGATATTCTTGTACATATGTGTGTATATACTTCTATACTTTTTTCTTGCTATGAATACTTAAATTGGAATTGTGTAAAAAGTATTACACTCCAAAATCACTGCAGACGGTGACTGCAGCCATGAAATTAAAAGACGCTTGCTCCTTGGAAGGAAAGCTATGACAAACCTAGACAGTGTATTAAAAAGCAGAGATGTCACTTTGCCAACAAAGGTCCGTATAGTTAAAGCTGTGGTTTTTCCAGTAGTCACGTATGGATGTGAGAGTTAATTTAGGAATAGTGCCAACATAAGGAAGGCTGAGTGCCAAAGAACTGATGCTTTTGAATTGTGGTGCTGGAAAAGATTCTTGAGAGTCCCTTGGACTGCAAGGAGATCAAACTGGTCAATCCAATTCAGGGAAGTCAACCCTGAATGTTCACTGGAAAGACTAATGCTGAAGCTTCAGTACTTTGGCCACCTGATGTGAAGAGCTGACTCACCGGAAAAGACCCTGATACTGGGAAAGATTGAGGGCAGGAGAAGAAGGGGGCAACAGAGGATAAAATGGTTGGATAGCATTGTCGACTCAATGGACCTGAGTTTGAGCCAACTCCAGGAGAAAGTGAAAGACAGGGAATCTTGGCATGCTGCAGTTCATGAGGTCACAAGAGTTGGACGTGATTTAGTGACTAAACAACAACAAAAAAGAGTATGCATTTTCTAAATTTTGGTAACAATTAAAAATTGCTCCCCCAAAATTGTATCAATTGTGGTGAGTGCCCATGCTTCCCCATTCTTAGAAATCATATAGGAAGATGTGGTGCTCTAGAGTGGATAGCTAGTCTATGAGTTTCGGGTCATGGAAAGTGTCACATGGCCATGTGGTTGTGTTCCTGGTTGTTGAAGTGAGTCACCATTGCCCAACCAGTGTATTCATTTGTTTGCCAGATGGGATAACCCGGTTTTCTTTGTACAGTCTACTGTCCTATCTTAAACCCTTTTTCTGTGTTCTTCTCCCTTAGATTGAGGAAGACACGTGGCAGAAATACTACTTGGAAGGAGTCTCAAATGAAATGTACACAGAATATCTCTCCAGTGCCTTTGTGGGTCTGTCCTTCCCTACTGTTTGTGAGTAAGTGACCATTAACCGCATGCTCTTTGGCTTTCACGAACATTCAATGTGTCCCTTGCAGGATAAACATCTCACCAGTAGCCAGCACAGTGCGGCCATTGAAAATTACCAGTGTCTTGTGCTCAGCCTTTTGCAATGAAGGGGAAAGTTGGTCTTTGTATGGCCCCTGCTTTGGGGGTTTCTGCTAACTTTCCTTTCCCTCCAGTTCTGAGAATCTTAGGTTTGGATCCTTCATATGCACTAAATTATGAACTGCAGTTTTTCCTGCATGTCTTGAATTATGCCCCTGTGATATAGACACTTGTATGAAGGGTGGCATGAACTATGCCTCTGATTTTACCAGGGCAAGACCAAGTCTTGCTAGCCCCTTGATGAAAGAAATTTTAATTTCTTTCAATCAAGTCAGATCATAAAGACATCAAAGAAGCTGCTGTTCAAAGTGCTTTCTGTATTTGCTGAGGGAATGTGGAGCCAAATGTACGCAAAGAGGCTTTTACTAGTCCTGAGCAATTTAGCCCCAAGACGGACATCTGCTTTTATAACAATAAAAAGCCTTAGTGTCTACTTCTACTGGCTTAGCAGGATGGATATGAGCAAGGGGTAGCCCTAGCCTGCATGAACCTTTAAGGTAGAACAGGTGATCATTTAAGGGCTATGATGTCAGGAGCTCCAGGTATCCCAGACCTCAAGAAGCTTTCACCAGGATGATGGCTCAGATCCCCCACCTAGAAGCTCAGATGTTGGACAGAAGTCAAACAGATGCTTTGTCCCCATGAAAATACAGACTGGGAATGCTGCAACATGCAGCCCCATCCTTTGACACTGTAGCAAAGACTTTGGTAAACTCAGTCTCACTGATAAAAACTGTGATGAAGCAGGAAAATCTAGGAACTCATTGGGCTGAGGAAGAAGAGATATTCCTTTTTGCTGTCTGCATGCCTGCAAACCAAACCCACCTTCTGGAAAGGGCGACCTGAGGAGGACCGTCCTGGGGGCTCTTGGGCTCCTCAGAGTTTTCTGTTCTGTGAACAGCAGAGAGGAGCCAGAGCACCCAGTAGCTTGGTGTTTACCTGTCAGTGACTTCCATCAGTGAGCACAGCAGGTGCATCCTGCCTGTCCCCGGGCCCAGACCCTGAGCAATCCAAAATCGTCTGACTGTTTACTGAGATTTCTCACCCTGTCTCAATGCGGAAGTTTAAATGCTAAATGGACTGGAAAAGTGAATAGGTAATTGATTCCGAAGGAGTTATTTTCTGAAAATGGATGCCCTATTGTAACTCCCATGTGTTCCTTTCTTTGAGAGCTATTTCTCATTCTGCCGTAGAAAGGAGTTAACCATTCAGAGGCGCTGGGTCCTGGAGCCCTGAGGCGGTCCCAGGGGATTTTCTCTACTTTGGAACGTGGACTGCCTAGGATAGAAAGCCCAGGAGGATTCCGGACTCGTATTAGAAGCTGGTTCTATAAAAAGGCAGTTGAAGCCGCCTGTGTCTAATGCAGGGGTGGTCTGAGCGCACAGCAGACCTGCCAGGGCCTGGAGGAGTCCTGTGCACTGGGGACGTGATGGGGGACTATGGAAGCCCCCTTCTTTGGCTGTTGAGCCTCTTTGACTTGACTGGTATCAACCTGAGTGCTCCCTTGGAAGTCCATTCATCTGTCCCCCGGGGCCCCCACCCCCTGGCCCCCTGCTTTCTGCCTGCTTCTCATTTGTGCTTCTGGGAACTGAGACAGTTCATTTTAACAGTGTTAACCTGGTGGGTTAGGAGTGCTCTGTCTGGAAGTTCCAGCTGGGGTGTCTCTGGGGTCAGTTTGACTCACATATTTGTCCTACACAGTGTTTACTTTATTAAAACTTAGTCGCCAGTGTTGCAAAGAAATGGTTTCTCACATAAAAGCTAGATTAACAACCTCTTTGAAACTTTGATAAACCAACATGGGACCTGCATTTCTACTGAGGCCTAAGTAGCTCCAGTTCACTGTAAGGAGGGGTTTAGTCAAGACCTTCCCCTCCCTGTTGTCTTAAACTGGCCAAATTTGCATTTACATTGGGGCCTGGCCCCCTCCATGGGTGAGCTAGCCCACTGTGACATAGTGGGTGTGTAAAACTTCTCTGCCCACTGGAGCTGGCTCAAGAGCTGGACAGGAGTCTGTAAATATTCCCCTTGATTGATTTTCATGTTGACAACATGTTCTGAGAAGAAGAAAATCCTTCAGACCTACCTTGTTGTCAGAGAATTTAGTATTTGTTTGGTACAGCTTCTGGAATTAAAAAAAAAAAAAAAAAGATGAAAAACTCGTGAGTGAGAATATGCTCAACTTACTGCTATTATTCCTTTAACACAATGATACAGCAGAGGTAGAAATAATCAATAAAAAAAGGACATTTAATGAGATTTAGGAACATCCCAAAACATTGAAGCTCTCCTCAAGCATTTGATTATCTGGAGGCTTAATTATCTGTGTTTTCTACTTTAAATTAAAGAAAAGCCATAACTCAAAGTTACCAGCAGTTTAATGATAAGACTCTTCAATTCAGGTTAATTAAAGCACAGCTGTAATTAGAGTGTGGGGCTGTATATCACTGGGCTGGCGCATAAGTATTTTCATTACAGTAAGAATTGGCTATTCAATTTCAAGATGACATAAAGGACGCCAAAATATATTTTCAGCTGGTTCATGTAAAAGAAAAAGAATTGGGGACTATTCCGGGTATAATAAAACACAGATAAAATATACAGATTTTCAGAGCCGTTTCTGTAATTATGCACGGCATTAAAACAATATGCAGCCAACAACGTCTTGAAGCATGAAAAGAAATAAATTTGCTCTTCCCCTGGGCTGGCAGAGTGCCCCCTTGCAGGGTAGGATCACCACACCGGAAAGCTTGGAGTTTTCTCAGAAGCTGGGAGAGTCATTCAGTGAAAAGATAAAGAGGCAGGATTAATAGGTGAAATTTGAGGTCATTCCCCAAGAGAACAGAATGTGGAAAGAAGCGAGCAAGGGCAGGAGGACCCCGAGGTTAACTCTTCTAGGCATTTCAAGCAGAGTGATGCTTTCTCCGGCTCAGGTGAGACCTGCATGAGCCGTTGGCCTCCACGTGTGCATCACCAGAAATCACAGCTTTGTTCCAAAAACAATAATTTAGACAAAATGCAATATCATTTCTAAATATAAATATCATTTACATTCTCTCAATGAATCTTCACCACAATCCTGTGACCTTTCTGCGAATATCACCATCCCTGGTTTATAAAAAAGGACACTGAGACTCAGATGCTGGTGTTCCCTTCCAAAGACACCTAGCAGACAAATTACAGAGCCAGGCCTCCAATGCTGGGGCCTTATACAATTGAGAACAGCTTGGAGGAGCTGCTAGCTGAAGGCTAGCTAATTAAGAATCTCCTGGGGAGCTTATTAAACAGAGAGATTTCTAGACTCCATCTCCAGATTTTTATATCTGGGATAAGCCTCCCAAATCTGCATTTGTTTTGCAAGTAAGTCAGGTGATTCCGATTCAAAGTCTGATGACTCAAAACCCCTGCAGACCCCATTCCTCTACACACAGGAATAACCTCTTATTTCCACTTCAGTCCCTGGCTTGGGAAGATCTCCTGGAGCAGGGAATGGCTACCCACTCCAGTATTCTTGCCTGGGAAATCCCATGGATAGAGGAGCCTGGTGTGCTACAGTCCATGGGGACACAAGAGTCAGACACAACTTAGAGACTAAACCACCCCACTCTGGGCTTAGCTATTGGTATGCTTTTCTCTGATTTTAGCCAAATCATAGAATTGTAGGTGGGCCACACCTTGTAAGCTAATGTTAAGATTTGTGTCTTTGTGGGAGCTTCCTTTCTATCTCTCCTTTTTCATGAAAGGGTATTCTCTATGGACTTTAGAAGTGAGTCTACCCACTACCATGCCAGGCACCTCACGACTGCTCTCCCCACTCTCTGCACCTAATCCAAATCAGAATAGGAAAAAGGCACGGGGGTACTGAGCCCTTTAATGCTCTCTGTCCACTGGGGATCACAAAGCAGTTTCAGATAAGCACCAAATGCAGAGAAAGACAATTCAGGATACAACTGGTTAGATACCTCATGGCCTTGAGGGCATCATGGTGGCCGTTCCTAGAATACCCTTAACATGTTCCTTTTAAGGACCAGCAACTACTGAACATCTCCCCTTGGTTTTTGCATGCCTGGCTTTCCCCTTGGTCTGTGTGGCAACAAGATCAAGGCAGAGGAGTTTTGGGATCTGAAGGAGAGGGCGCCATCCACTGCTGTCTGAACACCAGAAAACAAGCTGCTTCATTTCTCTTCATACTCCCCATCTTCTTCAGCAAGGGACTGTGGAGGGTGCAGATGGCCAGTGCCAGCCAAGCCTACAGGACGCCAGGGGCTAGGGTATGAGGCTATGTTTGCACTACGGGGTCCTGTTTTTGAGTAGTTTGAATAGTAGGGTGCTGTATGGTATCATGAAGTGTGAGCTGTGGAGTTGCAAGGGTCACACCCCCAGATCAGCGACTCGCTGGATATGTGATTTGGACAAGATGTTTGATTTCTGCCTATCCTTCTGTTGATAATTACCAACTGCCTGACCTTAGACTTGGTGCTTACCCCCGTCTCCTCATCTCTGAAATCAAAATGATAGAACTTTTCTCAGTACCAGCTCTGCTGCCTTCTTGCCACCATCCTATTTTACCCCACTGAATAGACTGTAAGCACAAAGAAAGAAATATATCCTGGCATTTCCAAGTTTTGTGTACTCCACTGTTTAGAAAATTCTACCATCAGTCACCAGCCAGTTAATCAGCTAGATATTTAATTATCTTAGGAGTCTGTGCCAGTGTGTAGGCATGATGCTGTCTCTAGAAGAACCTACAATTAGATTTGATTAAATATATGCTCATTAAAGGACATCCCAGGTGGCACTAGAGGTAAAGAACCTGCCTACCAATGCAGGAGACGTAAGAGATGCAGGTTCAATCCCTGGGTTGGTAAT